CATGCGTCCCTCCAAATACAGAGGAAGAAGAAAGGCATTCATACATTGAAATGACTGTCTTTGGTAAACTTGGAACTTTGTTCCCAGATTCCATTTTTCATTGACACTATCATAATAGTTTCCTCCCAGTAAGTGTTCTGGCAGATCTGAAAATTAGTTGAGCTTGGATAAAATTCAAATCTTTTTAAACACATTCTTTTTGTAGCACTTTTAATTGTAATGTTAATGGTTTTGTCACAGGAGAGCAATTCTATTGATTCAAGTTATTTTGTGTGGATTTCTACCTAAGTATAGAAAATGTGTCTAAAACTCACATCACTAAGGTATTTTTATGCCTTTATATAATGAACAACATAAAAGAAGCCATCCTATGGATTTGCTGCTTGAAATTTTTCACTGCTGAGATTCTGAGAAGTGTTTCTGACATAAGTCACCTCCCTCACACATAGTCAGCACAGAAGTACCCCAAGTCACATGAAACCAGGTGCTCATTGCTGATATCCACTCTAAAATAAAATTCCTGACGTTTAAGTTAAAGTTAGAAGTCCCGGGATGGACTTTACTGATGGAGAAAAAATGACATCACATCCTATGAAATTCTAGTTCCTTTTCCTACCTGGTTTACGCTGCTCTCCACAATGACAGGTACTTGGACTTGAGGTGACACACTTAAGCTGCAGCCCATTCCCAAGTATCAACAATAGACTTGTGGAAAAAAAAAAAAAGCATGCTGAATGGCAACCCTAAGACCACATGTATCAAGCCACAGTCACCAATGTATCAGATGACTCCACGCCTGCCCTATGTTCTGTATAAAGTCTCAATTGTGAGAGGAGGGTCCCAAGTGGTTGGGTGTCACGAGATTGTGTTTCAAGCAGCCTCCCAGACAGACATTACTCTGATGGGTTTCCCACAGTCTAGAATTTATCCACGGCCTGGTGGGCTCGCAACCTGCTCTATCAGCGAAGCTGGAGCAAAGTCACACATCAGTGGTGCGCTTACACCTCCAAGAGCACAGGAACTCTACAGACTGATGATATCAAGAGGCAACTCCGTGATTTACAATGAGGACTATTGGTATCAGAGCTGGGGCAAGTCTACGTGGACAGCGGCATCATAATCAGGGGCTACTTGGTGATGAAAAGATGGGGCAGAGGGAATACATTAGATAAATCAAACACAAGAGTGAAATTCAGAGTCTGGTTGATTTACCCGGTTCACACCAGAGACAGGTGAGGAAGCAGCGACGGGTGCACCTGTCCGAGGTAGCATTGGCTTCGAACTGTGGATCTGCCTGTGTAGCTAGTGCATCCCTCTTGTGATGCAGATGTTTTGCTGCTGCTGTGTCATATCTAATCCTGGGAGACAACTGGTTCCCTTAAGGTGACATTTGTACTCTCTGCCAATGTTATCTAAAGGAATCATCCAGTTCGTTCACTCTTCTTCTTTTCATTTATTTCTTTTTGCCCTTCTTTCCTATCCACGCCAGCACCACCGCACACCAATGCAGGTCTTCATCTCCTTAAGGCAGGGGCCTCCTCACCTCCCGACCTCAAACCTGACCCACTGCCCAACTCCAAGGACGTTGTTATAGAAACATACCTTAAATTAGGATTTTAGATGTGTCTTTGCCCATTGTGCCCCTACACTCAGGCCAGAAACTCCCAATAACTCCTACTGCCTTCAGAGTTAAGTTCAAATTACTTAGCCTGCTATTCAAATTCCTTCACATCAGTGCCCAATTTATTATCATTTTTTCTACTTCATAAACCTTCTACTGGCATCAAATCTATCATCTCTGAATATTCTAGGGTACCCCTAAATTCATGCTTCGCCTCATTCCTGGGGTCCACTCAAGATCTGCCTCATCCATGAAGATATCTCAAAAAATCCAAATTTGAAAATGACCTTTCCAGTTATTAGATTCATTTGATATTTAGCGTATCTGGAAAATAATTATCATAGGCTGAAACACTATCTGCTCAATTAGAATAAACTGCTTACAGGAGAAACAGTACATGTTGCCTTTGTTATATTGTTTCATTAGTTTCTCAGTATCAGGGAGGCTCAAAAACAAGAGCTTAGAACTGGCCCCACCCACTTGCAGGTGAAACTACTGAACTTCCCTTAGAACCTGAGGAGGAAGGTAAAGAGAACCCCCCTTCACTGAAGGGGGGACTCACATCCTCCGGTGCTCTCCCTTCCGTCTGGAAGCACAGATGAAAACACCTTTCGACTCCTCTTAGTCTCACTGTCCCTCTCAAAAGTAGAGGGCTAGCTTTAGAAATGGACGGGATCCCTGATATACAGAGTTGTCATCAGGACCTTCAACAGCAAGAACTACACGGGAGGTAGTGACAGGAAAGTGTCACAAAGAGGTCCCTTCCATACCACGGTGGAGTTGATACAAATCTTCGGTACAGAAGATGAGAAGTCAGACTTTAGTTATATTAGAATAACAAAGGGATCAAGGAGGGCATAACCTTAAATGTTTTTGCTGTCACTTAGCCTTTCTGCATCCCTGTTGCATAAACACACTTTGGTCTCAAGCCTCATTGGAAAGTGCTTTAAAAAGACTGCCTGACACTGGTCCAATACAATGAGCTAACTTGCCGTACCACCTAAGAAGACACGTTTCTTTCATTTCATACCACAGCGCTGCCGCTCACGGGGAGGACGTCCAGAATGTTGTCAACAGGGTCTTCTGTGATTGTGAAAGACACGAAAAGGCCCACATCAGCTCATATTTCATGGAATTTGGCAACCCCACATCAGAAATGTTGGGGAACCATCTGGCTACGTCTTGAAAGTAGGAAGGAGAAACCTAATTCAAAGTGGAGGAAAGGTGATAATCCTCCCTAGGAAGGAGGGAATTGCCAGATTAAGCAAAGATAATTGAGCCTGATTCGTTAATTATAAAAATATAACCAAAATAAAAATAGTGTATTTGTAGTGAATAAAAGAACAACCTGTGTTGAAATGAAGAATAGTACTTTCCTGGGCAAGAAAAAATTAATTCTTAGAGGTAGGAGATCAAGAAAAAAATTGTAAGGTCCCTGATCGGTTTTCTAATATTAAAAATATTGGAGGCTAATTAAGCTTACACTGAATGAAAATTATCATCATATAGTCTATTATTCAACATACAGATTAATGCAAGATATTAGAAGATAGAATTTAGTTAAATAGATCTAACATTCCAAAAACTCAAAAATTTAAAAAAGTTTACATTCCTAGGAGAAGTGTTTTCCATTGGTGAGTGTCAATGTCTTTCTTTCCTTTTTCGGGTCTAGTCCTGGAGTCTAATGTGTCTTCACACAGACTCACGAGCAACAGACGGGAGCGTGGAAGCCATTTCACAGATTCCCGTCACTTCCTGGACCCAACTACAGAGAAGACACCCATTTCTTCTGATTTGTAAATATGGACAGAAAGGAGCTTCCACAGCTTCCTCGGAAACCCTTGTCAGTTCACCAAAAGATGTCAATTTTTAGCCCACGTTTTAGGTTGTTCGGTACTGCAATGCTCACAATCCATCAACATGATTTTACTGTGAATTGTGGTCACGGGCTATTAGCTGCCCGGGAGAGGGGGCTTCGGGGCCTCTGATCGTGTGATCTACTCAGTCTTGGATCTGGAAATGTGGTTGTGTTTTACAGTCTAGTCTTCTGGGTCTGCTGTGTATAAACAAGGTATTCTGTCTAGCCACATAACGTAGGCCGCATTTAAATAGTTAGGCCCGTTGTGAAGCAGAGGTGCTGGGTGAAGAATTAACTACTGCCTTTTTCGTCTGGATGCCACCTTCTCTGTGAGAGTTTCTGACTGGCATGTAAATTTTCCCCACTTTTAATGAGCTCAAAAATCAAAAAGATTTTTCTTTTTTGCATAAGGGAAATCTTCCCTAGGAAAAATATACTCATTATCGACCTCATGCACACACAAAAAAGATTTTCCACCTTAACTTCCCATGCACCCACAGAGTAATCCACATTTAAAATGAATTATTCTCACAAATTGAAAAATGGAAGAAAACAGACTTTTAAGAGGTCAAGCTTTCTACTCTGTGCTTTTTAAAAAAACTACATTTTTTAGCTATATGATAGTATATTTTGATTCCGAAAATTTAAGTTACGGTAGAGGTATCTGGGACTCCAAATGTGTATGTTTTTCTGCTGCCTCCCAAAGCAGAAGTTAATCAAAAGGCTGTCAGAACTTAAAATATCACCTTGAACCCACCGTAAGAATTTTTTTTATTATATGGAAATCAGTCTGATAGAACGTATGCGATTTTACAACCTTTAAAGTCTATGACTCAAATTATTGTTTCTCATTAGGCCTCGTACTTCACTGTCTTCTAAGAAACATGGGTGGACGACTTGACTGCACACACATAAGATGCTAATTCGTGTGCCTGTCTTCTTCTAATCAAGTTTTTACAAGCGGAGCAAAGCAGCAACAAAGCCATCAGAAAACACATGCCATCAATCTTAATATTTGATACACTGTGCGTTATTTTATAATCCAGTGGTTAATCTTGGTAAAATAAAATTTCTGAAAAATAAATAAGACCTCCAAATGTTCTCTTTTGAATAATTATTTTATATATTCGTGAAGATTTGAATTAAAAAATCATCAAGCTTTTAGCACATGTTAAGGATAATTCAAATGTGATCAGTAAGTGAAGCCTATACAACTAGGTGAAATGAAATGTTTAAGGTTTTAAAACATTTATTAATAGAACAACACATGCTTAAAAGTATGTCTCTATTAATCTATTTTGCAAAAGATACCTTCCTTTTATTTACCCAGACATTTCCACAGCAAAGTAATTTTTTTATGAAACCATGAAGGGAGCTAACGAATACTTTCTGTACTGAAAAGTTTATAAAAATATTCCCTTTGAAGCAGCCCATGGAGAACACATGTAATGTTCTGTCAGATTATGGACGAAATGAGAGTTAGATTCAACTTGAAACATGAAAGCATTGCCGTCAACATACCTTGTCCTTGGGTCACTCCGTAGAACTCCGCCGCGATCCTCGCCGCCTCTTTGCGGTTGCCCTTGACGATGTAGAAGTGACTGAGGATGGCCAGGCTGATTTTCACAAACAGCTTGAAACAGAACAGCGAAAGTATCGTGAAGTAGACATTGGATAACTGTTGAGCAAATGGTCGGCTTTCTTCTAACACCGACATGGCTGCACAGGAATCTGCCGCGCCGGCAGTGAGAGCCAAGTCCCCGACTGTGCCTGGCTCTCGTCCGGGATGCTCCTGAACAGCTGGTCCTGCGGAAAGAGAGTATCAGCTGGTAACGATGCCTCCAGCTCCAAATATTTATACTGCCCATGCAAGCTCTCCGCAGGCTCCGATTGGCCCGAGCGTGTTCCTGGGAGGCAACTGCGTGCGACACGTGCCTCAGTGCAAGACTCCTGACTTTCCATTCTCAAAATAAACAGACACTCCGCCTCTCTGCTCTGAATTCCAAAATCCGGGTATTGACGTTTATATACAGGTGGTTTCCTTTTTAAAAAAACGATGTTTTAGTACGCAGTTAGCATGAACACATTGAAGACTTTGTGTATGGGGTTCCGGCTGCTAATGTAAATGATATTCAAAACAGCAAGGTAAAACTAAGCCCATCAATTCAAGCCTTTAAAATGGTCCTGTTTGTAGATCATGAACTAAATCCTCAAACAGTCCATGATTGGATGCTCCAAACAACGACTCATCAAATTAGCCAACTGTGTGGCTTTGACTGTTGTCAGAAAAAAAAAAAATTTTATACATAGATTGAGTGGAAAGGCCATAGAATAAGAGCTTTCATGTGTTCATTCAACTAGTAAAAATTTTTAAAGATTTTATTTATTTTATTTTATTTTTAGAGAGGGGAAGGGAAGGAGAAAGAGAAGGAGAAAAATGTTGATGTGTGAGAGAAACATCCATCAGTTGACTCTTGCACGCCCCCAACTGGTGACCTGGCCAGCGACCCAGGACTGGGAATTGACCAGTGATGTTTCTGTTTACAGGCTGGCTGGCTCTCAGCCCACTGGGCCACACCAGCCAGGGCTCCAGTGAAAACTTAAAAAATACATCTACTATGTGTCGAACATTTTCCTGAGAAAATATATAATATTCTTGCCATGAGGATCTCATAGTCTAAAGGAAGAAACAGACAAGAAGACATGAGACAAATCCAGGTGAGCACAGTGTATGGTGGGAGCACAAAGAGGAAGGGCCCAATTCTGGTAGAGAAAAGTCAGAGAAGGCTTCCCGGAGGAGGTGGCATCTATAGAGAAATACCAAGTAAACACAAGCGTTTCATCTAGACTGCCCCAAACCAAGCAAAACAATGTACTTTTTGGGCCTATAATTTTTGTTAATCTTAATCTGATGTATCTTATGAATGAAATGCAAATGTTATAAGGGCATATTTTAAAAAGAGAAATAGAGTAAATTATTAAGAATGATAATGAAAAGTGGCAATTTTTGTACATAAGTCAAAAATAATATGACAAAATATAAAATGGCACAGTATAGAGGGAGTTACTTTATACAATTATGTGACCAAGTTTGGGGCCTGTTAATTGTTGTATTGTTTCCCAACTCTTCTGAGAAGTCCCAGAATAATAAATGATAGAAAAAAAAGACGTAAGAAAACAGAAGTGGTTCCTTTTGAAATTAAGAAGCATATTAATGATTGGTCAGTTTGGTAAGTGATGGGTGTTTATCTGCCTCAGTGCATGCTTCTGAAGTGGACTGATGTACATAAAACATTCCTAAGACAAAGGAGGCATTGCTGTAAAGTGAGTATGTCAAATAACGCAGGCTTCCTCCCTCAGTGACCGAGTGGCGCCCAGAAAAATAAGTCAGGTCAGTGTGTTAGAAAGAAACCCCAGGGGTTCAGAGGACTAGACTGAGTGGCCACTAGTGGACCCAGTGGCCATTTCCCACGTGTTTGGTGAGTCAATGAAACTGACTTCAAAGGACCAAAGAGAAAGTCACTAAATGTCCCTCTGGCAGCTGTGGTGCGAGCGTGCCAGCCAGGCTTCCCTTGGCGGGTGGCGGCGACTGCACGCCCCGCGGAGGCCTGGCCAGGACAGCTGGCCGTCACAATGCTCTGAGTCACTGCACATGCCCACTTCCACTCTTGGCGCTCTGCCGTTACCCACAGACCCACCCCAGACCCATCTAACGTTTCTCCCCCTCCTCTTACCGGTAAGCGCTGTTATGGGAATCCCCCCACTGGTTCGTGGGGGGGCCCGAACTCTTTGGGGCTGAGGAACAGTTCAAGTTCAATGAGGTGGCTATCGCTGGGCATTACATTGAAATCCCTATAGTTTTACTACTAGAAAAATATTACAATATCTAGGATTTTATGCCAAGACGTTGGGCTGTATTTTAATGAGTTCCTATAGACCCAGTTCTCTGTGTTGTCCTTTGGCAACTGTTACCATCTCTCACTGTATTAATCAATGAAAGTTAAAACTAAGTAACTCACCGTCAGTGAACTCATCAAATATAGATGCTGTATTTTTCACACTAGAGACCCCTCCAAATAACACCATAAATTGTTAATATTTGAAAACACACCTGAAACATAGTGTGCCCCTGTTTTCTCAGCAGGAACATTTTCTTAAAAGTAAAACATTGATTAGTGGTTTCAGTGATTTAGTGAGATAATACTTTCATAATTTCTTTCGTTGAGAGGATGTGGAGGAGGGATTTGGTGGCCAGTATATCACAATGGCTCTAATCTTGTTAGTTTCAATCAATCAAACCAAAATCGAGGTCAATAATTGTGTTCCCATAATGGGGGGCGTGAGAGAGGTTAAACACACAGGAAGAAAGAAATCATGATTCAGTCTGCTGTCTGCTACATGGTCCACATACATCTTCTCATTTACTATCCCTGTCTCAGAGGGGTCAATGTTATCGTCTCATTTTAAAGATGGAAGTTGCTGGCAGACAGCTTTAGTGACCTAAAAAACTTCCTTATGAGCAATAGTACTATTTGAACATAGTTCTCTTAAAATATATCCTCAAAGTTACTGCTCATATTTTCTACTTGGAAGTACTTACAATCAGAGTGAGCAAATGTGATTTATGCATAGAGAATGAGACCATCACCCAGACTGTCTCACACACACACACACACACACACACACATTAAGGGGATCAGTCAGACTGTGTTTAATCAGGGACCTAAACTAGCCACTGAATTAGTAGGGCAGGCTGCTTGTGAGGACTCCGTGAGATGGGATCTTGTGTGCTTGAGACTGTGTGCCAGGGGGCTTCCATTCTTGTGGAGCAGCAAAAAATAATAATTTAAAAGATAAATAAAGACGGTGACGAGTGCAATGCAGGAAATTAGTGCTGTGCTGTGAAAAGAGTAACAGAGGTGACCCACAACTGGGACAGGGAGAAGGTGGCAGTTAAGCAGAGACCTGAGGAATGAGAGAGCCAGCCACAGGAGAGGAGCAGGGAGAGGACTGGGGAAGGACGTGGTTTCCGAGGACCTGACAGAGGACTGTGCGGAGCCTGAACGAGGGGCCTGCGGCAGGAGAGGACTGGCGTGCAGGAGCGTTGGTTTAGGGCCCCAAACGGCCGGGGGTGCTGACCCGCAGACCCTTCCTGGGTGGAAGCATTTCTTCCCCCAGCTGGTGGCGCTGCTTGCTGGTGCCCTCCAGTCAGTCATCCTGGGAACTGCCTGTGCGGCTCTACCTGCTAACCCTCCCCGACACTCGGCACCCGTTCTGTCCCCGAGCTTCTTTTGGGTGGATCCGGAGCAGAACGCAGCATGACAATAACAACACGGGATTTTACTCGAAGGGAAGTGGAAGGCGATTGAGAGGCTTTAACAAAAGCGAGAGGGGACCATTTTAGCAGGTGTGCGTAGAGTTAGAGAAGGCAGGGGTGGTGGCTGGAGCTGGGGTACTGGAGGTAAAAACTGAGAGAAGTGGGTCAGTGCAAGACACATTTAGGGGTAGAAATCATCGGATGTGTCAGCTAACTGGATGGTGAGCAGAAGGAAGTCACTGAAGAATAACAGCAAAGCCTCGGCACAGTGAAATGGTCGAAGTGCCATTTCACTGCACAAAACTCAGGACACCAGAATCCACTGGCGCTTTTCCAGCTTGGATACAATGGCGTGAAAGAAGGGACTGAGAAGAGATGCCAGTGCTGAGTGTCTTGTGAACTAATTTTGGGCTTCGTTTTAGAAAATTGGCCCCGAAGAAATATGCAATCAGTATAAAGTTTAAAACACAGCCGCAGATGATTTTGAGCCCTATATTCCGGTTCTGCATATTACATGGCATTTGTCTAATAAATTATGGGTAACTAGCTGCCATGTGGCACTCTGTCACTAAGCTGAGCCTAAATACTGTAAACTGAATTACCAGACAGGGAGAACACATACTTCATGTTCACTGTAATGAACCAGCACAGACTTAGAGGTCAATAATGGCTTGATGTTCCAGAAAATGGATAAGTCTAATGACACGCAATGTCACTTTTTAAATACGCATCGCACAAGGTCAGCCTTTGTGAAAGGCTGGAATAGAAGAAATTAAATGACAGAGAATAGTTGAGAGGCTGCTTCATCTGACCTCAGCCCAGAGCTGCTTCTACGGTGACCTCGAAGGTCCTGCTGCCGCCAGTGACCACGGAGACCACTCTGCCTCTGCTGTGGTTCTGGAAGCTGCTGCTCTGGCCCTCAAACTCAGAGCCACCCATGCCTGCAAACATGAATGCCAGGTCCCTGTTTTCTCATGCAGCCAATCAACACAAAGTTTCATTAACCCATATCTGATTGGTGAAATCTAAGTCACATGTCTGTACCCTGACAGTATGGGGTTCTGGGAAATGTAGTTTTCTAGGTGCTGCACTGAAGAGGCAGCCTGCAGAATACCCGGGACTTACCACCATATGGAGAAAGCACTGAAAACTTGACTTGGGGTGGTGAACACTCAATCCAGTGTGCCGATGATGTGTCATGGAACTGTGCACCTGAAACCTGTGTCATTTTGTTAACCAGTGTCCCCCCCGACAAATTCAATAAAAAAGAAAAAGAATATTTAGACAGACATGAATGACAGATGCCCACTGTAATTAACGTTCCAAAATCTTCACTGAATCGCAACTGATTCCATCATCAATGAACTCAGTCACTGAACAGCGAACACTGAAGTAATAAACAAAGTCAGGAACCAAAGACTTGTGGATGCTTGATTTGAAATCTTCCCTAGGAATAATGCTTACATGGGAACCTGCATTGGTACCTTCAGGGATGGATCAGCCGTTCACCTGCTTTTCGGTAAAGTCAGATATTGAGAAGGCCCTCTTCACTCAGTAAAACTCTGATGGGTTATCTGAGCTCATCGGAGAGGGTTGCTGCTTAGGAGATGCGTTCCTAGGGTGTTGGATCTGCGCAGCACGGGTGGTCCAATGCGGAGCTTCTTTGCGAATTCCACGAGGTCTTCCAACAGCTTACTCCTCACTGAGTCAGGCACAGGGAGGAGTCCTCTCCTACATGGTGTTGGGCTCTGCCCTCTGAGGCCGAGTTCAGCATGCTGGTGTTGGGGCTGTCTGCCTTCTTTGCCTCTGGAATTCACCTCCCTGCACGTGAATTTTCAGGAAGCCAAGTGCCGTGGTCATTCTTGCATCTTCCAATGCAGCTTTAGGGAAGCTGGCTACCCCAGTTCCTGGTGGGGGGCTCTATTTGGATCCTGTCAGTAGGAATAGAGAATTTGCCTTCTATCGCTCAACTTTCTTTTCAACAGGTCCTCTTCTTTGTTACCAAATATTATGGTTTTAGGTTGCAATGAAACAGACAATGATCGGGTCATCATCCAAGCAAGTCTTCTACAGAGACAAAATCCCACCAGCATAATGAGGATCAGATACAAAAAAAAAAGAACAAATAAGTAAATAAAATAAAATAAAAACCGCAGCAGAAATATCGAGCCAGTGTTCACTGCCGACTAAACAGATTCCTAGATTCCTAGTCCTTAATATGGTCAGCTTAACCAAAATAAAATGTTTTGACCACGCTAGTAATATCCTATTATATTTAGGAATAATAATTCTATTAACTTACATGCACACACACATGTATATTCACATATGTGGTTTGGATATAAATATATATAGTGTTATTTCTAAATAATTTTAAAATACACTATCTTATTTCATTCTTACATAATATACTCTCTGCACAAAAGTGTCGTGTGGGCCGAGCGGAGACTACAAATAAAAACCCTCCCTGCCTCCCTTTCCACCCAGGGAAAGGCCACATGAGGAGACGGCAAGAAAGCACCATCTGTAATAAGCCAAGAAGAGAGGTCTCCCCATAAACCAATCTGGATGACACCTTGGCCTTGGACTTCCGCCCTCCAGAACTGGGAGAAAATACATTTGTTGTTTAAGCTCCCCCTCCTGCGTCTGCGGTGTTCTGTTATGGCGGCCCTAGAAGACCAATATAGCCCCTATGAGGAAGCAGCGTTAATAGCTCCATCTCACAAATAAGGAAAGAGGCCCGGGAGAGGTGCAATGATTTGCCCAAGGTCAAAAAGCAGACAGCAGCATAATTTCCGGCAGACACGGTAGCTACAAGATCAGTCAAAATACAATGGGGACGGTTTGAAAAGAAGTGCAAAAGCAAGAATGTTTCACAGGCAGAGGTCCAGTTTGTAACAATACGGCAGGGTCGCTTGTACAACGGTTATGCCGCTGGGTTAGAGATGTGGAGAGAAGCAACCTTGTAGGGACATCGTGTGCCTCAGGAGAGGCGCAAATGAGTTTTCATCTGTTCTTTGAGGCCAGACGCCCTTGGGAGCCAATTCAGGAAGAGTCTTCGAGCTGGGCCTAGAACAGGAGTCAGGGAGCAGCTGGGAAATCAGCCTGGAGGCGGCGGGAAAAGCCTGTCTCCACACAGGATGTGCTTGTGGCCTAATCTCAGCATTTATTGCCCCCACCGGGGAGTGCAGTTTCCGACCGATGTAAAAGGCAGTATGATCACCCTTTTTCCAGTGCAGCACAGCGCAAGTGTCTGGACACTTCCAAAAGTGTCTGGAAACAGAGGAGCAGCTTCGGGGAAAGGTCCCCCGAGATCTGGGCACCACCTCCCACGCCGCTCACTTCCGCACAGACCTCCTCTCAGCCCCTCCCACACAGAAACTCCACACACCCTTCCGTCCCGCCCGGGGCAGCCCTTCCCTCTTTGCCTGTCGTGCATGGTCACTGTGGGTCGGTGACTCAGCAACGGTTCCCCCCTTCTCCCTTCCTCTGCACCTTGTCTTTGTCCAGGCCTCCCTCACACACCTCTGCCACTCGAGAGCGGGACGTCCAGGGCAGGCCAGGGACTGGAGTGTCCTCAGCACAGGGCAGCCCTGTCTGGGCCACGGCTTAGAGAGCCTCAGCTTGCAGCTGCACATGGCAGAAAACACTCCCGATGCGTGGCGTGAACAAAAAACAAACTTGTTTCTCCTCACTGGGGCGCAGTGGGGAGGAGACACCGGAGGGAGGGTGGGGCTGGTGCCATAGGTGTCCAGCCCTCAGGGACTCTATGGCTGGGTCATGGTCGCAGGAGGCTGTGGACACTCAGCCATCATATTCCCATTCCAGCAGCAGGGAGGAGGAGGGACAGGGAGAGCCATGCCCTCCTCCTAAGGATCTTGCTCAGAAATGACACAAACCACCCCCACTGATATGCCGCTGCTGTCCCACGACCACACCCCAGGACAAGGAACTCGGAGAAATGGAATCCTCACTCCATGAAACGGCAGGTTAGGACTTAGTCGCTAAGCTTCTTTCTCTTTGCTTGTCATGCTGGATGTGAATCAGAATGCAAGGAGTTCTAGATCCGACCATCTAAGTGAGAGAGAAATAAATGTCTACTCATCTGAGACATCGAGAACTAGAACAAGACCCAGGTGCCCAGCTTGCAGAAACATCCTCACGGGATTCCCTTGCGGCCTCCCAGACCACTCAGTCTGCAATCATCATCATTCTTAGCAACCTCTTCTTGTCTGACCATTTGGTACTTGTTTCAAGTCTACCTCCTCCCCTGGGCTGTGAGCCGGGAGCTTTGGGAGGAGTTGTGGGCCTGGTCAGTGAAATGGAATGTTCCACGTGACGATGGGCACGGGGGAGACTTGTTGATAAACCACAGCTCTCAGGAAGGGGGTGTTGACCAAGAAGCCCCACTGTTCAGAGATCACGTCTCCTACAGGGGGAGCCTGGGTCCCTCCAGTACTGGGGCAGGAGAGGGTGGCCTGGGCATCTCCTCCTCTCCCGGATGCTGCAGGCTTTTGTCATCTACTACTTATGACTTCAGCTAAGGCTGGTATCTGGTTTCGCGCTCTGGCACAACCTCCAATTTGAATGTTGGGTCACTTGCAGCTGTGGCTTAGTCTGCACAGGGGCCAGCCAGGCAGGGCTGCAGTCAAGAGGACAGCGCAGCTGCAGACTCCCTGAGGCCTCACCGGGGTGCTTGGGTGTCCCCCAAACCCTGCAGACCGAACTTCTAATGCAGACGGCCGTCCTCTTCCCAGCAGCTTTTACTCAGACGCAAAGGCCACATTTCTAACCATGTTTTATTTTTTTCCACTCGCCCCCTGTCCCCCACTGCCCTGCAGCCCCCACCTTTCTGTCACTCATTAACCCCCAACATAGAAAGTAATTTCAATAACTCACTGAGTAGGTTTTTATCTACAGGCCACCTTTAGGTCTCTCCCCTTCCACTCTGACGTGTTATACAAGCCCTTTTCTGTCTCCTATTCTCGGTTGGGGTTTTCTTTTTTTTATATTACTGGCCTTAATTTCTGAAGAATATTTAGCTCAATGCCCTGTTCTTTTTCAATGTGATCATTACATGAAAGCTTGGGTGGAAAGGATAACCATGACCTTGGTAGTTTGTGTCTGTACTTTCAACACATTTGAGTGTGGACAGAACCGACATTCAGTGACAATGACACTCACAGCCCTCAGGTGCTGGGTGCCCCCCGCTACTCCCGGTGTCACAGGAAGCAGTTTGCAGGACTCGAGAGCAAAATGCGCTTCAGTCCACACTACAGGCCATTCCACGTGCTAAGGACTCAGTCACTGGGACGGCGCGGTAATGGGAAATCATTTAAATGTGAAATTTTTAAAAGTTACCATTTTCATTTAGGTAGTAGCACTCATCAAATGAACACAGAGAAACTTCCACATTATACACACAAAGAGATTAAAGAAACTTGAATCTGTGATACAGTCCATAGAATCGGAGAGTTGAACACAACTCGTTTTTTAAAAATTTGTGTGTATTTGTTTTTAATTTATAATTTTCCTTCTATTAAAAAGTGCTTTGAGACTTGACCCAGTCCTTCACACAACCATGGGCATTTTGTTTTAAAACAGAAATAAAAACAGGCCTGTGACAGCGGTCCTTCGTTCTGCCGACCTTCCCCCTCCAGTCCCGACGGCAGCTCCTTGTGTCTGGGACACAGGACTCCCCTGCCGCCCCAACCCGTGGACGCGGTTCCGCAGCTGAGGGTCCATCCTGACTGCGGGAAAGAAGACTAACCACATCAGCACGCCGGGGCCGGGCGGTGTAGCATATTCAATCCAAGATGCCTAATTGGGACCTGGGAGGATCCTTAGTGACTTCTGAGTAGCCCTGTGGACCCACGAAATGCAATGTTCCCACCTCATTCTCACCCACACCTCACCCAGGACTTCAAGTCCACCAGGGTCCCCACCTCTGAGTTCAGGCGGACTGTCCAGCATAGTCCCTGGGGGTCTTGCCTTGAACGCCCACTGATACCTTGTACCTGCCTGGACACACCTCGATTAATCACCATTTCCCTGCCTGATGCCTGAGTAGTGCCTCTGTTACAAGTTTCCCAACGTGGGTGTCTTCTCTCACTCAGGAAATCGAGCCCAGTGAGTACACGCAATACATTGAGGTTATGTGTCTAGAAAACCCAACACTAGAGAAAAGTTACCAACAATTATTTCTGTAAGAATTAACGTAAAGAGTCAAAAACATTCTAGATCTCCGTCACCTACGTGTTTTATTACAGCGATGTTCTCCCCATACATTTAAAGAAACTTTTAAAAGATGTTACACACACAAGCAACCATTCCTCCCTTAAAAGACACTGATCATAGGTTAAGGGGAAGAGTCCACTCTAAGCTGCGGTGTCCCCGTGTCCCACATCTACACCCAAAGGCTCAGCGAAGAGAGAAAGGGAAGAAACCCAATCTGCAGGGTGACCAGGGGTCTGCCTTTTGATCTTTGCGTGAGAAGAGACAGAAGACATGATCTATCACTGCTTTTTTCTAGTGATCTTTCCATCGAGAATCAGTGGATGTCTAGGATCACTTGGGATCTCTCCCTGGAAACTTACCACCAAAATGACCAGCTGCTAAATATGGTAATTCAGAGCGAGCCATGCCTTCTACCAACGAGCAATGTTAATGCTGAGGCACACCTGCCGGGTTCAGGAACCACTCACATCTCAGACACTGACCGTCGCTGACTCACAACCGTCCTCAGAAGCCTCTCGGGGGACCTGGGGCTTGCCAGCCTTCATGGTAGAACCAGGGAGCATGGCAAGATCATTTCCTTGTCATCTGTTACAGACCTTAAGCCAAGTCACAGTCCCTCACTTCCCCACCTGCTCCTAGAATGTCACATACTTATCAGGGACTCCTGCAGCAAGCCTCACGAGTGAGCCGCAGAGGCAGGATTTGTACTTCAAGAGTTTCAGTTCTAGCAGTGTATATTCAAATGACCTGACTGTTACCTTGAACTTCCTTCCAACATAAGGATTCAGAGGAGTGTAACAGTGCAAAAAATTTGAACATATTTCATCATC